TGACGCAATCATTTTGCATCACCTCCGTTTTGAAGAATCGAAGCGACGTCGCGACTTCGCCGCCGAAGCCGCCTTCGCCGCAGGTCCTCGCCGCGGCGGAGCGCGCCGTGTCGGGCGCCTGGACGGTGGCCGAGCGTTGGCGCCGGCGCTGCGCTGAGCTTCAGGTGCGGAGAGGTCCGAAGAAGCGAGGTCCGAATGACTTGGTAAACAGCCTAAGAGCCCGAGATCTGATCTTGAGGGTCAGCACTGGAGCATGACAGTCTGAAATGGGGCTGTTTGGATGAACCCTGATTTAAGCTCCAGATTTGGCGAATTGGATGTTGCCCCGTGCGGTCGGGTTACTTTAGGAGCAACTCTTTTGCCACATGCGGAGCATCGCAGCGAATCGCATCAGCCCAGTGGACGCATAGAAAAGAACTTGAACAGCTTCCATTGCCCTCCAGTGCCGTCCCTTTTGTTAAGCTGCGACATTGTGCGACCCACCTCTGCCAGACATGCCAGACAGAGGGCTTGGGGGAGGGCTTCCTTCTGGCAACGTTCCACGGTCAACTCCTTGCCACCGGACGTTCGCCACCGGAGCGGTTACTGTAAGCGGTGAAACCACGGAGCCGAAGGGAGGAGGCGGACACTTCGACGCCAGGATGACCTGTCGCCTGTGGCGTTGGCATGTTGGCATCCCTTTGAAGCTCCGATCCCAGGTTCGGTGTGGGGGACCGTCCTGCAGGTTTTGTGCAGCTTCCCCCCACCGATCATTCATCAAGATCAGTAGACGGTAGACTCTACAAGAGTGTAACGATGCATTTAGAAGTCGAATTCCGGATTGACTCTCATTCTGATGCATGTGATGACTTGGGCAGCAACTAGAACAAATTAAATCACAGAGGGCGTGACTGCTCTCTTTGATCTCTTGAGTGGCTCCCATTTGAGTGGCTCCCAGGTGAACGTCACGCTTGCCTTTCTGGACTAAGCCCCTTGGGAAGAGCTTCCCCGTCCTCCTTCTGGCATTTCATGCGTGGATTCTTTGTCGAGGAGCCGGGGGGCAGGGTCCAGGGAACCTTCAGCTGAGACTGCAGAGCCAGACAGGCACTGTATTCAGATGACCATCCCGACTTTTGCACTGAGACAAGCCGTTTCTAGGCGCTCATGTCGAGCATGCTTTGCTATAAAGAGATGATTTGGGAGCAGCAGATCACATCTTCAGTTCTTCATGACTAGTTCAATAGTAGTAACAAGAAGCTACTAGGAACAAGTGCCACACTAGTAGTAA